AGAGGGTCCCCCAGAGTGCTAAGTGGTCCGAAATCCCGAAATCCCGAAAATAGTATTTCCCACGGAGGACGAGAAATTTTAACCGCAATTTGAAGCGCGCGCAAAAGTCCTAGCTAGAGTGGGAGACGTTTTGTCGTGTCCGTTAGCTTACTGGTGGGTAACGCAGTGCTGCGGACAACTGTAGGGACAAAACTTGAAGCCGTTGACATTTTGAGAGCGAGAACGAGACGGTAGTTGCGCAAAGGAAAGCAGTTATAGAAAGAGAGGAAAGGACAACAGCATCTTCACCGACGCATGACCACACTAGCCCCATCCTGGGCCTGCGTCGAAATGGTCTTAACTCTACTTAAACAACCCGTTCAGTCTTTTCGTGTGTTGCAATGTAGCAGAGGAGCCACGTGGAGAAAGAACCGAGGAATCAATTTCTTACTTACAGGAGAGGTGTCGTTTGTAATGATGATTTCTGTGATGTTGGACGTGGTCATGCGTACTGTTGGTGTTTTCGGTGGAGGGAGTTCTACCGCAGGTTTTCGTGGATGCATATTTGGCCTTATAGGCTAATGTGATGAGTGAATATTTGTGGACATTGCGAACAGTGGAAGCGGTTGCGATGGGTGTATGTTGGTGCTCTAGGCACAGATTCACCAGTCTCTGTGCGAGGGATTTGCAGGTAGCCGGCTAGGCCGATGCGTGATGTGCATGTGCGGTGGCAATAAAAACAGGATATGTTGGGGCTGTGGCTTCAATTGCACTGATGTTGCGAAACGTGTCTAGAATTCAGTCCTGCTATCCCAGCTTTATTAATCTGTGGTGACAGCTGAGGTAGGAGTGATTGGCTGCTAGTATACCAGAAATGGCCATTCCGGTTTCCCTAGTCTTTGTCGGTAGGGTATTTCTACCTATAATATGCTAGCCATTGCGCGGCTGCTAGAGGGTCTAAAGAGCGAACTCTAAGGCACAACGCAACGAGTGAGTTCCGTTAACGATCTGCGGGCGCCAGTCTGCCATTGTAGATATTCCCGACCGAAACCGGCAAGGCAAAGAACCCGTGGCGCCGTGACTGGCGCATTGGACACGGTCGTGGGTTTGGGCCTCGGGTGCCGCGACGCCTGGGGTTGGGTATGACGACCACTAAGCTAGAAATAGTCATTTCAGTCTCCCTTGTCTTTGTCGATACTGTATTTCTGCATATAATATGCTAGCTTTTGCGCGACTGCTAGCGGGACTCGAAGGCGAGCCCTAAGGTTCAAAAGAATGAGTGAGTTTCATAACTTATCGTTGAGTGCCCATCTACCATTGTGTTTACTACTCTTTGTTTTGACTGACAGATCCTCTGAATAAAGGCTTCTTAGTCCGGGGACAGAAATGACGGAAGCATGCAGTCATCCCTGTTCGCATCATGAAATGCCAAAACCACTTGAGGAGCCACCTGAGGTTTTTCTCATAAGAACCAAAAGTGGACATTTTAAATGGCCTCCGCTGAATGTCTACCAGAGCTTTGAGGATGATTGCAGAGAATTTAATGTCATAGGCTTGGAAGGTCAGCTTTCTGCTGGGATAATCAATGAGAACCTTGAATATGTTCTCGCAAAGAGAGTGCAGGGTCATGACCAGGACGCCTTCCAATTAGGACAAGTAATGTTTGAAAAAGTAAGCTCCTCCTTTTTACCACGCACATCTTCCAGCACAACTACAAAAGAGCCTTTGAATATTTCAAAATTGCTGCCAACAAATACCA